AAAAGTTCAGATAATTTTAACTCAAATAATTCTTAGTAGTTTTTTTTTAGCCCCTTGAGTTTCAAAATAAAGAGGTTTTAATGTATTGAAGTAATGATCACACATAATTTTATGAGCATTAATATATAACTGAATGAATAAGCATATACAGTGGTACCTCAGGTTATGAACACCCCAGCATACGAAATTTTCAGGATACGACATGAAATTCGAACATATTTTTGCTCCACGATACGAACAAAAACTCACCATACGACGTTACATTAGTTCGCATTTTTCATTTGTTTTTCTTACTACAGTTATTTTTTTAATGTATTACTTGGCTTTAATTTGAGTATGTTTTTCGCGTTGGAACGAATTATTTGGTTTTACATGTAATCGTATGGGAAAAGATGATCCACCTTACGACATTTTCATGATACGATCTCAGTTTCGGAACGGATTAATTTCGTATCCTGAGGTACCACTGTAGTAATATCTTTCATATAAAAACTGACTGTATAAGAATGGAAGTGTCAAATATCATGAAAAATCTGAAACATGTATATCTAATAAAGGTATCCTTCAATTAATGTGGATAATTAAACCTTGATGCTACTACATATATCAAAATCATGTTAACCAAATATGGAGGTACAGTATAGTACCTTGGTACTCAACTACCCACTAGAACAACTTCTTGATTAATAACAGATGTTTTTATTTTTAATAAACATAAATAGCAAATTTACCAACACTTTATTTGCCAAGAAAAATGTATCTATGTCCAAGTAAAGATAGCTGTTAAAGCTGCATTAATTAAAATTTCTGCTGCATATAAAAAGGGATTGCTAGCTTACACAATCTTCAGAATAAACTTATTCATTGGAAACTGTAGTATAGAGCTTTCAAAAAGTTTAATATTTTCATCTGAATAGAAAAAATTATATATAAAATGCTATCATATTGTGCTATTTAAACTTTTTTTTCTATTTATAATCCAAGATTTGTAACTCTGATTACTTTAAAGTATAATATGTGTGTTCAAATTTTTTTATACCAATAATTAAATAATTTGCATTTATATTATACTGAAGATATTTAAATTTATCTAATTTCTCCCCACTAGCAAAGCAACTTAAATTTGCAAATTTCAGAAAAACTTATTTTTTTGATGCTTGTTCTAAAATTAACTAAATCATGATAAAAGGCAAAGAATGCATAATAAACAAAAACTGTTGTTAATCTATCTTCACTCTAAAAGAATTCACATTTATATTGTTAATTTTTTTTTCCTCAAATCTCATTTAAGAGAATTTTGAATTTTTCACATTTAAAAATGTCTTGGAGAAAAAACCTAACAGAAACTAAAAACCTTAATTGAAAAGAACTGTAGTGACTAAATAGATAATTTAAATTTTAAATTGTGTTTGCTTATTCTGTCAATGATTTTAGAAGTATAAATTTCTAATGTATATAAACTAGAGAGAGAGTGAGTGAATGTGCGAGCAAGTGTGTGTGTGTGTTCAGAAACAAGCAGGATTGGAAATAAAAACAACTAGTATTTAAGACCTTTTTATTCCTTACTTTGATTTTTGACATTTAATTTTTGCACTAGTTCAAAATCAAATATGTTAACTTCAGTAACAGTATTATATCAAACAATTGTCTACAGATTTTTGAAATTAAGGCAAGTGTTTGATAGCATATTGAAATGGAAAAAAAATTAGAAGTAACACCAAAAATATTCAAAAATAGTGTACTTCATTAAAATCATTTGAAGAAAGTTATGAATTCAAGTGAAGTTATAATAAAAATAACTCAAAATTAATTGATAAAGTATTATTTCCACTAAAAGTTTGATCCAGTTTATAAGCTTTTTTACAGGTGATATGTAAAGAACAAAGATAAATACAGTAGAGCATCGATTATCCGACTCAATTGGAGACTGGGGTTGGTCGGATAACTGAAAAAACAGATAATTGAAAAGTATGAAAAAATACATTATTAGTATATTAGTATATCCCATGTAATTAGTATATCGCTATTAACCTACTTTGCGTTGAATTTTCATCGATGTTAAGCCTAATAAATTTTTTTTAAAAATAATAATCATCACTATTGTATCGTTAAAAATTATTTTAAAATTATTTTATTGCTCACAAAACAAACGACCACTCATAATTAGAAAATTAAGTCTCATTTAAATACTGGCCTCCTGTTCATGGTCAAGCCAGTGTTCCCAGCTAAAACACAACAATTTAACGAAAATAATATTAAAGTAGCCAAGACATAGCCAAATATTGTAGCCCCACATCACTAGCGGACATTTGAATTTGCAGACTAGAACGCAGTCGGTTAACCGATGTGACGGTTGATCGGAGGTCGGATAATCGATGCTCTACTGTATATGCAAATAATTTTTAATTTTTTCAATCGCTTCATCAATATCCATAGTACCTCATAGTAACATACTGCTCTGTACTGATGAAAAAAATTCTGTATTTTAGGTTCTAAGATTTTTAGAAGCAAAATTTGTCCCATTTTATCACTTGTGACTGTAAACACGAATTGACCTTACATGTTTTATGTAGTGGCAAATATTCTAAAACAGAAAAAGATAACAGGTGTTCAACTGCTACTTTACAACTGGTTATAATATAAATTAATAAACACTGCAATAATCTAATCAATCGGCAACAACATTTTAAACAAAGTGCAAATGTTTTTGCCCTTGTTGAATGGGCATCATTAGGTAATAAACCGTTGAGAAAAAATTCTACAAGAAGTCATTCTACAAAATCTAAACTCCCCTTTCCCCCCCTGTCAATATATGTCATACACTCCTCCCCTACACATGGGTTCAGCAATCCCCGATGTTTCCTCAACAGTTTATTGCCTGGTGATGCTCATTCAACAAGGGCAAAAATATTTGCACTTTGTTTAAAATATTGTTGCCAATTGATTAGGTTATTTCAGTGTTTATTAATTGATAACAATGTATTCAGGGAATGGTTAAAGAGAGATGCTCCATTAAGCAGGAATATAATTCATTTTTTCCCGATTATTATTATATGCATTTATGATTATTATATCATATCACACATGTTTATAATATTGAAACAAGGACAAATAATGGTAAAAATGAGTATATTCTTATGGATATAAAAGTTTCAATATTTAAACATCTCACAATCAGTCCTGAAAATTACTTCTAGATTCTTCCTATAAAAGTAAAGAAAGCACCATGCAATAAATTGGTAGTGTTAATTTCATATTTCTTGCTGAACATACGTTCACTTCCAAAACTAAAAAAATCTGATATAAAAATAAAAGCTGCTTCTAAAAACTATAATTTATTCCAAAAACCTTTTACAGAATGTCCCTATTCACATTGTTTTTTAAATTAAATTCTGTGTTTAAATATAATAAAGGAAAGTTAACTGCCATTTACCCCACCTTGGGAAGAAAGATCTTGTCACCAATAAAAGATTTTCTCTTTCCCAACTAACTGGATATAGCAATTTGAAATACTGCCATAAACAGATAAATTGCCTAATACTGTCTATAATTGTCTATTTTTGTACATCTGATTCTCTTCAATAAGTAAAAAATATTATATCAAATATCAATATCAAAATTATGAGAAAGATTAAAATAGAAAATTTTTAAAGATATGAAAAAAATAATAAAAATTGTCTTATCCAGGAAAAACCTTTTACAATATATTTTAAAGTTTATAAGTGAAATCTCATTGTATTTTTGCATTGAATTGATTCATTAATTGCTAAAATTTTAAAAGGATTATGCAAAAAGCATAATCTATCTTCTACTATTGGCACTTCTAAAAGAAAATTTCACAAAAATTACCTTTAATATGGTTATATGTGATATTGGATAAGAGTAGCATTAATCTATCATATTTTTTAATGCTGTTTTTGATACACAAATGTCAAACTGGAGAAAAATAATTCAGCAAATTTTCTTAACTTTGTCCAAAAAAAAATTAAAAACTGAACTAAAATAACTTAAGATAACTATTCATAGAAACAGTAAACAACTTTTTCGTGCACTGACTGTAGAAATATAGCACCTAGACCAGGGGTCGCCAAAGTGGTCGATGCAACATCATTGGGGGGGGTCGATGCGGCTAAGTGGTCACAACCTTTTTTTTTTTGCTTAGAGAGACCACAACCCACAACGGTTGTTTTTTTTGCTCATACACATACACTTGTAATAAAACTTTACGGTGGGGGTCAATGTAAGGCTTTGGAAAGTGATTGGGGGTCGACGGTTAAAAAAATTTGGCGACCCCTGACCTAGACTGAAACAGATTCAATTGTTTTGGCTAAAACATTGGTACCTACTCTCTAATAAAGATCTAATAAAGACCTGTTGCTAACTAATTCTTATCAATTACTTCATAATTTTCATAAAAGACAACTTTTTTCTGAAAGTCTTTTGAAACAAACTAATTGATAGATGTATTTTTATTAATGCATTTTTTTAATGAGTTTTCAGTTGAAAAAAAAAAAGCCATTTATCTTTATACTAACAAAAGTAATTCATAAAATCTCTTTCAAATAAAGTATATCAAGTCATAAATTCATTTGGATACATTTATACATTATCTCAGCAATAAATTTGTATAGCATATATTTTTATTTTTATGAATCTAACTTAATGGAAGAAACTGCACTGAGTTCACAGAAATTATTGGATGCCATACAATAACAATGAATAACTCATTTCCATGAACACATGAAAAAATACAAATCTTGTTTTATTATTCAAGTTTAGTTAGGAATAAAACAGAATTTTCTTTTTGAAAGTTCATTCTGTATCATTTAATACACCTTCCTATTTAATGAATCTGCATATTATTTCATCATTCTTAATATTTCAAATTACAACTGAATTTATCAAATGCTCACAGTTAAGCCTGAAATTTTATTCACATACACAGAAATAACTAGTCTATTTCTTTAAAGCAGAACATGTTAAATTGTTTAAATACTCACAATCATCTCCAACTGGTCCAGCTGAACACTGAGCAGGAGGATCTCTTCCCAAATCTTGAAGTTCCTATATAAACAAATATTCAATATAGTCATCTTCAATCTCTTCATATTAATAAATATTCTTAAAAATTTCTAATCTAATCAATTTTATAAAGTAGAATAATTGTCAAAGAAGATCTATCTCAAATACTAAATGGAGCAAAAACAACTTTTTGTTTAGGGTCCATTTACACACAACAGTGACACGCCGGCAGTGACGATTTGGTGACAGTGACATCAAGCACGACACAGTGATGAGTATTTACACACTACAGTGACGTGACCATGCTGTCAGTGAGTGGTCATGGACTTTTCAGAGGATGAATTGGCTATGATAGCTATATGTTTGGAAGAAGAAGAAAAAGAAATGCAATCAATAAAGCGCTGCAAGTGGGTACATCAAGCATGGACAAAAAATATCAACAGAATGGGAGTTTCATACTTTCTATAAAAAATTGAGATGACAAATCTATATTTTTTTTTATATTTTCGAATATTGCAACATGCATTTCATATTTTATTAAACAAAACAGGGAAAATATTCATTTTGTACTCAATGTCCATGTATTTTGAATGAGATAAATCAAATAGAACAGTTGCAATAAAAATGCACCATTTCAATTAAATGTTCATCATCCATTGGAAAACAAAATTTACCGTCAGTGAAAATATCATTCCCGTCAAATGTACTTTCATGGTACAGTCACGCCACTACCATTGCACAGCACTGTGATGGACGAGTCTGGACAGAGTTGTTTAAAACTAGGTCAACAATTTTCCACAGGCAAAAATTCACTGCACTGTGCTGGCACATCACTGTTGTGTGTAAATGGACCTTTATACTTTAATAGTTACTATATCTTTTAATAATGAAGATTCAAAACTAAATTTGCATTTAAGTCATTTCATTTCATCAAATTAATAAAAATATCAATATATTTTTTCATTCTCATTTCAAAATCCTCGCATAATTAAAAAAACCATCACTAAAGATTATTTCAATATTTCCCAAAAATCTTTTCAACACGATAATCAATTTTAGAAAAATTATTATTATGATATAATAAATTTAGAAAGATGTTTTCTTTTCCATGAACTTAAAGCAAATATCTTATGTAATATTTGTTATCAGTATTAATAATACTATGTGGAGAACTACAGAAGAAAATATAATATAACAAAAAGCTTTTTCTTTAAAAAACTAAATATTTTCAAAAATTATTTCTTTGCATGGTTACACAGCATCTTTATTATTTCACTACATTCCAAGGAATTGGAATTCAGTTGATTTATTTTTATTGGAAAGTTTCCTTTATGATAATATATCATCCTATCAACTTTTTTTATATTTAAAACTGTCATCATATGTAAAAAATGATTTAATATTAAACATTTACATTTAGCAATAACGAATAATATTAGATATTCTTTAATTATTATAGTGAAAGCTTAATTCATCATTTTTACTGGGTGGCCTTAAACCTGTGCATAGACGAAAACAATAAATGCAGGATTTTGTATAAAATGAATGGGGAAACATGCCACATTTGATTATATGTATTCATTTAATCAAAAACATACACCAATGACATTTTTTCTACTGTCAAGTTTAATTTAATTTAAAAACAGTAATTGATCATTTGTTAGTAACACTTTTCCTTTTCAACTGAAAAGTAAACTTTCTATTAATTTACTAGGCCTAAATTTAGGCTTAGTAAATTAATAGAAACTAGACACTGGTTTGGTCCCAGTTTCAATGTCACTATCCAACTTGTCAGTTGGCAGATAAGATGTGAAAGATTGCACAGTAAATTATACAGTGTCCAAACTTTCACTTGCTACACCATATTGTAAATAAACCACCACTGTTAATACTGCCAATGCATATAAACATTTATGTACAGTACATGTTGTTGTTCTGTCTTAAAATGACCAGTCCATTTAATGTACTTTAAGACTAAAAATTCTAACCAGTATATGCAAGAAAATGACAGAGTAAATCAAGGAAAAAGTGACAGAGTTTTAATTTCCATAATTTAAATAGGATTTGTTCAGAGAGCTTAAAAACTGAACAGTGTTTCTTTGAAAGCAATACATCAAAACATAGTGCATCATACACGTAAGAGAAGAGTAAGTGTGATTCTGAATGATGGGGACACGACAGATACAACGCATGCGCAGTGGACATTGCACAATTGAATCACCGTTTGAATTTTTCTTTTTAAAATTGCGTGACAGTGTTTTAGAATAAGGAATCCAGCTGTTTTACCTGAGGAAGGACATGGAAGGTGTTCAGAAAATATTTGCTTTTACAAAGTTGTTTATTTTTGTATTTCTACACACTGGTTAGAGGCACGAGTAAGTACGTTTTATTTACTTATTATACACACTCCGGTGTGCATGAAGAAGTTACATCAAAAAAAAAAATCTAGGTTTCACTTCAATATCCATGTTTGATAAAATAGAAAGTTTTTTACATTATGTAAATAAATTTAGCAAATTTATATTTGATTGTTCTAACAAATAATGAAATAAAAATAAGATAATGCCAAGACAATTGTTCATAAACAAACTGAACAGAATGGTGAAAATTTGGTATAACTTGTAACTTGGGAGACCTTGTAAATTGTGAGAAGAAAAAAAAAAACTGAAATGAGAGCTCTAATTGTGAAGCGGCAATTTTCACAAATCTTTTCATTGATTTTCGTCACCCATTCATCAGTCAAAATGCTTAGTCGACCACTTCACTTTCCACCATAAACATTAGTGCAGCCATTTTTAAACATAATGCACCACTGCCTCCACTCATTATATCGTTTCCATACACCTCACAAAGGCAGATGAATTTCAATTGGTTTGTGGTTTTTTGCTAACAAAAACTTAATCACTGACTGCACTTTGCAACTCGCAGAATTTTCAATTGCAGCACACATTTTAAAAATTCACAGTGGAAAAAGCAGAAGTAACACAAACCACACACTAACACCAGGGGCGCCGCTAGCTGTTTGAACGCCCGTGTGCAATACCGATTATGCCGCCCCCTGTTTAACTACGATTACCTATGCTGAGCTTGCCAGAAAGGCTCTCTGCCGCCCCCTGGACGTGCCGCCCGCGTGCGGTGCACGCCTGCTTACGGCGGCCCTGACTAACACAGCTGAATGTAATGAGTGAAGATGCTCTGACACCAAAATGGCAACTCTAGCTCAATCCCACCCCCTAGCAGCCAAAACATAAAGATTACTTTCTGGATTACCACATAGTATTAAGCATTAAGAAAAATATACCTGAAGTGATTTTTAGCACCAATATCTTGAGTAAAACTTACTTATTTAAATTGCAGAATACGGTATATTTTTCATAGGTCATTTATTTTCATACTATATTTAAATATCACTGTCACCTGAATCATAATCATTTGTCAGGAATGAATTAACTCATAGAAAGGTATTCAATTCTAAATTTTCAAATGTAAGTTTTCTGCATTTACATGAAAGGATATTTTGTATTAGAAAACAATTGTTCAACATCCATAGATGTTAAAGGCAGGTACTGTACTTGACTTGAAGTTCTAAATCATTGCATTCCAAATCTGGATTCTTAGCAAAACTCCATTTATTGGCAAATCCAACTAACTTAGTTGAAGATGTTTCATTTTCAATTCAGTGATTGCAACAACAATGAATTTATATGAATTTGGCATAATTAGTTTTTTTCTTGAAGTACTGTAAAAAAGATTATATATTTACATTTAGGCTGTGTACACACTAGGTGTTTTTAAACGCTCGTCGAAAGCCAAGCTAACACGCGTTAGCTCGGCGTTCGACGAGCGTTTAGCGGAGCATGCGCACTGGCTCGGTTTGGAAATGGATGTGGAAGTGATTGCTTGTGGAAGTGATTGCTTGTGTGTGGCTCCTCTATCGTCGCTATAAAAGACGACGGCAGAGGCAAAGAGAATTTTGGGTGCACCCAATATTACGAGATAGACTGACGCATGAAATGTTTNTTTCATCTGAATAGAAAAAATTATATATAAAATGCTATCATATTGTGCTATTTAAACTTTTTTTTCTATTTATAATCCCAGATTTGTAACTCTGATTACTTTAAAGTATAATATGTGTGTTCAAATTTTTTTATACCAATAATTAAATAATTTGCATTTATATTATACTGAAGATATTTAAATTTATCTAATTTCTCCCCACTAGCAAAGCAACTTAAATTTGCAAATTTCAGAAAAACTTATTTTTTTGATGCTTGTTCTAAAATTAACTAAATCATGATAAAAGGCAAAGAATGCATAATAAACAAAAACTGTTGTTAATCTATCTTCACTCTAAAAGAATTCACATTTATATTGTTAATTTTTTTTTCCTCAAATCTCATTTAAGAGAATTTTGAATTTTTCACATTTAAAAATGTCTTGGAGAAAAAACCTAACAGAAACTAAAAACCTTAATTGAAAAGAACTGTAGTGACTAAATAGATAATTTAAATTTTAAATTGTGTTTGCTTATTCTGTCAATGATTTTAGAAGTATAAATTTCTAATGTATATAAACTAGAGAGAGAGAGTGAGTGAATGTGCGAGCAAGTGTGTGTGTGTGTTCAGAAACAAGCAGGATTGGAAATAAAAACAACTAGTATTTAAGACCTTTTTATTCCTTACTTTGATTTTTGACATTTAATTTTTGCACTAGTTCAAAATCAAATATGTTAACTTCAGTAACAGTATTATATCAAACAATTGTCTACAGATTTTTGAAATTAAGGCAAGTGTTTGATAGCATATTGAAATGGAAAAAAAATTAGAAGTAACACCAAAAATATTCAAAAATAGTGTACTTCATTAAAATCATTTGAAGAAAGTTATGAATTCAAGTGAAGTTATAATAAAAATAACTCAAAATTAATTGATAAAGTATTATTTCCACTAAAAGTTTGATCCAGTTTATAAGCTTTTTTACAGGTGATATGTAAAGAACAAAGATAAATACAGTAGAGCATCGATTATCCGACTCAATTG